ACTAAAAACTTTTGTATGTAAAAAAAATGCCATACTATCATGTTTACAACTTATGAGTAAATGGTTCAAAATAAAAATTATATAGATGAGGTAGAGAGAGAGAACGAATTAAGCAAATGTGGTGAAATGTTAACATTGGAAGACTCTAGGTAAAGGGTAGCTGGGAATTCTTTGAACTAATCTTGCAACTTTTCCATTAGTATGGAATTATTTCAAAAGAAGAAGAATTTAAAAGATTAAATATTGCCATAAACAAAAAGCAGATATACATACTAAACGGGAAAGGTATTTGTAACATTTATGATAGACAATGAATGAATTCCTTAATATATAAATTACAAGAAAAAGACAAATGGCACAATAGAAAAGTTTAATGAACAGATAAGTTATAAAAGTGTCCAACCAACGTGTGTGTGCATGTGTATGTGTGGTCTAATTTACTATCAGTAAGGAAAAGTAAGTTTTGAAAGGCTGTGATAAAATTTTGCCTAACAAATAGCCTCTTCAAAAATAAACTCCCAAAAAAGTCCAAAGTTGGACGTATATGATGAGATGGATGCAGCACTGCCGATGGATGTCTCACCTGGTCCAATAATGTGGCTACAGTTTGGCAACCTAAATGTTTTTTAAAGATGGTCAGCAACTCTGACCTATTATTTCCTTTTACTTAGTTGAATTTTATCCAGAGGTCCAAAATTATGTACAATGCAGTTCATTATAACATTACTTAAACAACGTAATATTAAAAACCTGATGAACAGGGACTACATCACTGCATGGTAGTAGATTACTAAATAGATGTGAACCAAATCCTATTTTAGAAGAGTGTTTATTGGCAATGGGAAATGTTAACGATACGTACACTGTTAACATTGGTTATCTTTGAGTGGTGTCATTTTTGCTGTTTATGACTTTCTGATCCCACAAAAAGACATTTTACATAGGTTTAGGAAGTAAGAGCAACTGTGATTTCCTTTCTGAAGGAACGGCATGGTTGTCGAAAAGCAGCTGAAAAGCCTCAGGAAAACCAGGAGAACCACTTTTGAAAAATGACATGGGCTTTATAATAAAATATTGCGTTTCCCAACTTAAAAGTTTTGTTTGACTCTGACAATTTGTACATTTGGGTAGTTTCAAAACACAAACTCCAGGGTGCCCTTTCTCTTTACGCCCAACTGTCAATATACCCATTATACAAATATGATTTATATATCTTTAAATTTAAGTATAGATAATCTAATCTCAAAAGTAGAAGGGGAACTAGAGATAAACTAATCTCACTTTCTCATTTAATTGACAAAGAATTCAAGATCGAGAGAGATTAGGTAACTTGCTCAGTTACTAGCCTTCGTGTATAATGAATGGCTTCTACAAATAACGAGGAAAATATAAAATCCACAAAGGGGAAGCTGATGATAAATATGAATAAGCGAGTTGCAAATGAAGAAAGGCAAGCAGGCAATAAACATGTAAAAATATTCAACCTCAAGAATAATGGGAAATGTAAATTTTAAAAAACCTATGTAATACTTCATTTTGCTTACGAAATGACCCCATCCCAAACAAGCAAACAAACAAACACTCTGAGGATCACACAGTGAAAACAGCGAGGCAACAGCTGAGAAAGCTGTCATACCCTTGCAAACATCCCTCCTCCGCTACCTGGGATGCACTCGATAATAACGCCTTAAGAAAAAAGAAAAAAGAAAAAGACAAACATCGCAACAGGGCTAATTTTAACTATATGTTCATTTCATAATGCCAGTTTCAGTGCCAACATAATAGATCCTTGTTTGGCTCTTCCGGCACATTTAGAGGAGTCTGAGTTCTTAGCTCCCTTTTCAACCAAGGCCAAAAGCCTCTAATTTTGCTACTTAACATTTTAGGTATTCATATCTTAGAACAAACTCCTTTATGCTGTGAATCATAATTTTATGCAAAGTAGAGCTCATTG